CCACGATTCATGGACTACCTACTACAATGACGTATTGACGTGTCCTTTATGGTAATTTCCGTAAAAATCATTTATAAATAATTACATACACTATATTTTATAATCTAAATATTATGTGTTTAGATGTTAAAATCAATAAAATTTACTGTAAAATATATAAATGATATTTAATAATAGAGTGTTGTTTTATTGATTTTATTGTTATTAAAAGTTATAAAATGGTCACCTTGACTATACATATATTATAAACTCGTCATTTTCTATTAAAAATTGACGACAATCTAAATTAGACGTTCACATGTTGATTGGGATATGACAAAATCTGATCTAAAACTTCTATCCTATCACAATCAGTATGTTAACATCCAGCTCAAACAACTGTTAATTTTTTAACTGAAAAGAACGAGTTTGGAACATATAAATAATTGGATGACTATTTTGTTGCTTTTAATAATAGATAAACTCGACAAAATAACATCTTATAATCAAAAGATTATTTTATAATTTTAATAATCAGTGACTCAATAAAACAATACTACCCTAAAATCTATCACAAATGAACATTTCAATTATAAATCGGGATGATAATAAATTAGATTAGGTCAATTTTTTTATCTATTTGAGTTAGATTTAAAAGTTAAATTTCTTATATGATATTTGATTGAATTCAAGTTTTTTTAAAAATTTATTAGACTTAAATTTTAAGATAAAATCTCAATATGAATATAAATTTTTTTTTATTTTATAAAATAAAAAGATAATATATGTAAAGAGAATTTACAATATTATGCTTGAGTTGAAATCTAATCTCATCCCTCGTTAACTCAATATAATTCAAATTTATTTATTTTATAAAAAATATAACTATATAACATTAAATCAAATTTTATTCCATCCTAATCGAATTAAATTACCATCCAATTATTATTGGCGTTTTTCCCGAAAAATCACTTTTTCCATTTAATATTTCCGATCAGCATCGTTCAGACTATATTTTCCGATCTAATACCCTTTGCAGAAAGGCGCCCCCTGCAGCGCTTAATGTTGATTTGGCGTCACGTGGGGTAAAACGCATCTTATACTGACATAGGATACACATGTGTATAGCGCGACCCTTGGGGTGCGCTTAGGCCACATAAGGTATAGCGCGGGACAGGGGCCACGCCTTACCTGTGAATCTGCCACGCGTCAGTAAGGCGCGCCCCCTGCGGCGCACCTTAGGTTTAATTACCCACCTACCCGACGTTTCACACGCCAATCCCTCCCTATAAATACCCTATCATCAATCACTTTCATCATACTAAATTCTCTCAATTTCTCTCAACTTCTCTCAAATACTCTTATATTCTCTGTTTAAGGTATATTTTATTATATTTTTAATATTTTGTATTTAATTTATTTAAGTATTTAATTTATTTAATATTTTACATAAATAATTTTTTTTGCAAATATATAATGGAAGACGGTCTACTTCGTTTGGATGAAAATCATATATCTCGACACTTTGTTGATACATTAACATTTTAATTTAATTTAAATTATTAGTAATAATTTGTTGATTTATTTAATGCATGATTATTAGATTAAGAATTAATTTTTGTAACTATTTAATTTTAGGAGAATGACCGTGTATTAGGTCCTTTTATTAGGAACCTTAAGTTGGTAATAACTAGTTGTGTCTTACCGTATTTAGTAGACGCTGGATTCGGTTATATAGGTAGATATCATGGTCACTGTAAGATAGAACCAGACATATGCATCGCAAAACTGTTTCGACGTATGTTCTCGCTTTTCAATTTTACAAACATAGAAATTAATTGGCAACAATTAATATAATATTTTTCATATAATCATAATAAACAATAAGTATAATAAAAAAATTATAACAAAATTACCTTATAATGAAAAATCGAACGAACTTCTGAATTAAATATAAGAAGATTGTCGGATTGTTGTATTAATTTTTTTCTCTTAAGAGGAGATGTGAGAAGTTTCGAGAGAAAGGGTATTTATAGCTGAAAAAAGTTATTATAATTATACAAGACGCGGTACCTGTATCGCGCTTTACATAATTATAGCAGATAAAACTAAGGCACGACCCCAGGACTGTGCCGAATATAATTGTGTCAGATTCACAGTTAAGGCGCGACCCTTGCCTCGCGCTATACCCTACGTGGCCTAAGGCGCGCCTCAGGGGCCGCGCTATACACACATGTATCCAATGTCAGCATAAGGCGCGCATTACTTCACGTGGCGCTAAATCAACGTTAAACGCGCTAAAGGGCCCGCCTTTATGCAAAGGATGTTAGATCGAGAAATATAATCTGAACGATGCCTGATCGAAAATATTAAATGAAAAAAGTAATTTTTCGATATAAACGTCATTATTATTATTATTATTATTATTATTATTATTATTATTATTATTATTATTATTAATACCATCCAATTATAAATAAGGGAACATAATTTAATTACGTAGATTTCTCGAATAGTACTGTTGGGAACCGTATCTGTTCACCGCGGTACAAAATGGCGTCTAAACCCAGTTGAAAAACGGCGTAAAACTGCCGATTCACAACTGAAAACTACGCCGCACCTCCAACCGCCTCTCCTTCTCCGATTAAAGCACCCGAATTAAACCCTAGATTAACTAACTCCAAGTAGTTTGTTGCCATCCCTTTCGAAAATTAGGTTTATTTCTTTAATTTCGAAACACGCTATCAGGGTTCGAAAATCCTGGACTTTTACATTTCTCACATTTTGAAGAAATAGCTCAAATCACCCTAGTTTTGGATCCATACTGTGGTAAGGTTCTCAAATAAAAGCTTCCCATGGCAATTATAGGCGACGCGCTGCGCCAAACGTTTATGCCAAAGCACGAGTACGAGAGTTTAAGGGAGGGAGATAAAGCTTGGACGAAGCTACAAAGACCGATCTTAATAGGTTTCATAGGGATCATTTGCATTGCGATCTTTGCTTGCACGGTTATAAGCTTGAAGATTGTGTTTCCTGGAGACGTATTGAAGCGACCGTTCTGTGACGACCGGAGATTGCAGCCTTTGCCGTTGAATGCGAAAGGAGGAGGCGTTGGCGATTCAGATCTATATCCCGGAGCATTTTATTTGACTGATCAAGAGACCGTGGATTACTACTGGATGGTTGTGTTTATTCCATCTATGGTCATTTTTTGGCTTCGGCTGCTTATCTTGTGGCAGGTCAGTCTATATTTGGTTATTTATTCTTTGGTCCCTTTAAGATCTTATTCAGAAATGAAAGGAGGGTACACAAGAATTGCACATTGTAGAAAGTAAGCTTTTAGAAAGGTGAAGATTAGCCTTGAATCTTGAATTATAAGCTGTAAAGCTCTCTTATTGTTTGTCATTCAGTAGCAGAACACTGTGACTGGAAAATATAGTAGATGAGTATTATGGCTATGAAACTTAAAGATATATTTTCTTCAGTTCCACATCGTGAAAGACAATATATATGTAATCTAGCTTTAACGATAGTGAGGAAATTAAGCTTCTTATTTGACCTGTTCAATGTCATAGGGGGATCTCCCTGGTTTCCTGGTTCTAGTATTCTTCTAATGTTGAGGTTTGAAAAGTACCGAATCTGTCAGTGGTGTAAGTAGAGGTTGCTGGTGGCTAATGGTTGGTTCACATTATCTTGGCTATTCGGCTTGCTTCATGAATTTGTAATTGCTTCCATGGCATTCTTCGCATAAATTCTGGGCTACGAGTGTATAGTCTTGTTCACTTGTTATTTCAAGGTTAAAACTGACCCGAGAATATTGGAACTTGAATATGGTAGTTTTTCTTGTGCTAATTTTTTGTGAGGGTTGCTTTGATGTTGGGTCTTTGAATTTGCTTGTTCATATGTTTAATCCCTTGTCACTTGTCCTTTTAGTTTATGTAAGTATCCTGGCTTGTTGGTCTGCTCTTTAACGGTTTAGTTGTGAGTCAGGAATTACTGTTGCTTATTCTGCTCCAACTAGACATGGATGTTTAAAGGCGGTCGAGAATAATTACTGCGCTTCAAAAAGAGGTATGTTCGATTTCTCATTTATTGACTTGAGAATATTTTTTTCTCACTGCTCATTTAAAGTGGACTCCGTTACTGCGTAACAAAGTATTAGTTCTGACTTGTCTGGCAATTTCGACTTGCTGAAATCTGTTCTATTATAAATTTAAATGCGAATGGAATTTGAATTTGTTCTAGCTGTTACTTCAAAAACCAGCATCTTCTTTCTCTTGTTTATTCTTCTGAAAGAGTGAATTAAAATATTGATCCCGTTAAGCTATGAACATCATTAGCTTGAATAGATATACTCATCCATTCTCATGCTGATTTGTAACTACAATTTTGCTTCTTCTTCTTTTTCATACATGCATGTGTTAATTTCATATATATTTTCAGTTCCTAAAATAAGTTTATTGCAATCTGCAGGTGGAGTTCGGTGCTTGTCTATTTTGAATGTAGTTTTTGCTATCATCTTTGGTCTTTTTGCTTTGTTCCTGGGTTCAAGCCTCCTCACGTTAGGAAGCAGCTGCTCTTTACCCTTATTTTGGTGCTATGAGATTGCTTCTTGGGGGCTGGTGATTCTATATGGAGGAACTGCCTTCTTCCTAAGAAGGAGAGCAGCCGTAATTCTTGACGAAGTAGAATCCGGTAGTCGAACCCTTGGTTTAGAAATGTTGGAGACTAACCCCTTGGAAGTCACCCCAGATGTCGAAAGGCGTGTTAACGAAGGATTCAAAACATGGATGGGATCATCCCTTCTATCATCTGATGAAGAAGATGACTCCGATAGTTATCACGAAGTACGTCATATGACACGTACAAGTTCCAACAGGCAGAGAGTGTGACCCCGTACCAAGACACCAGTGATACCGAGAAATTTCAATACTTGACTGTCAGTAGGAAGATTGTTCAATACTGAAGCTCTCCACCAAATACCAATAGCTCATGAACAGAAGAGCTTTTAATTGTAGCGACAATCATGATGTCCGGTTGATCGTTCCTTCCGCGCTTTTATGGCAGTGACTTTTAACCCTAGTCAGGAAAGAGCGTCCCCGTCCCACCCCATTGCCACCCCTAACGCAAATTAATAGATTGGTGATGTCCCAATAATTTAGTAGGGAGTTATTGTGAACTAAATTGTGAAAAGAAGTTATTGCAGAGAAGGCAACATAATTCCCAAATTCCAAATTGGGTCAGACATGCATCTTCCTTCAAACAGTGAATGGCAGTTACACTCGATCTTCATGATGCTATGAATCATATGCTTTATGCTTTCACCAAACCAATCTAACTTTCAAACTTTGTAAGCCAATCAACCACCATTTCGGTCCACGCTCCCTTTTTTTTCTCGAGAAACAAACACATGCTCTTCAGCTCTACTACGCTCAGCCTTCCCTTTCACCACCACACCGCTCCTCCTCCTTTCGGAGACTTATCCGTCTCGAGTCACGTCGGAGAGATCTGTTACCGGCGGCGATGGCTAGGTGCAGCTGGTGTTGCTTGCACTATTCGTTGAAAACGGTGAACCTCATCATGACTTTCCTGGGGATCGCAATGATCGTGTACTCACTTTGGCTCCAAAAGATGTGGAATCTGGGAGCTGCTCAATTGCCCTCTTATCCGTCTCTGCGTAAACCATGGTAATGGAGGTGAAAAGCTTTTCACCTCTCTCGTTTTTGTTCTATTTTTGTTGGATCATTGAATAAACAAGTGGTTGACGGTGTTTAATTCAGGTTCGTATATACATGTTTAGGTGTGGGAATGGCACTCTGTTTGAGGACACTCTTCGGTTACATCGTCGCTAATTGCATCAACAGCAATATCCTCTGCTTTGTATCCTTACCCGTGAGCTCCTTTTCATTTATTTCTTTGCATCATTATCAATCATACCAAAATTTCAACTATCAATCAATCGATTCGATGGGATGGGATTTGAGCACAACTCATAATAAAGTATCTTATTCGAATTAATTTACAGATGAATTAAATAGTACTTAAACTATTAATTTTGATTTATTTTAATACTTAAATTTTTCATTTTTTTCAAGATCATACCAAATGGTTAGTTTTTTGTTTTATTTTAGTATCAACTGTTTAAAATATCAGCTTTGGTCTGTTTTAGTATCTAAACTTTTATTTTTTTCAAAACTTAACGTTAAATTTTGAACATGTGTATTAAAATGAAATAAAAACTAAACTTTAGGTATGATTTAAAAAAAATAAAAGTTTAGGCACTAAAACAGATTAAAATTGATAGTTTAGGCATTAAGCACGTAATTTACCCATAATTATAAGATAAAGTACATAAATAGTCTATCGACTATAAGATATTGTTTTATTAAATCATTTGATTATTAAAAGCTACAAAATGATCTTCCGATTATAGGGAATTGTTTTATCGAGTCCATCGACTATGAAAGTTATAAAATGATTACTCGAATATTCATTATGTTTCAAACTCGTCATTTTTCATTAAAAATTAACGACAGTTTGAGCTATAAGTTAACCTGCTGACTGAAATATGATACATTTTTATCTCATAATCTCAAATGACTATCATATCTCAGTTAGCATGTTAACGTTAAACCCAGATTAACATTATTTTTTTTACATAAAATGATGGGTTTGGAACATAATAAATAGTCAAGTGATAATTTTGTAATTATTAATAGTCGATGGACTTAATAAAATACCCCTATTGTCGATGGACCATTTTATAACTTTTAATAGTCAAAAGATTTAATAAAATAATATTCTATAGTCGGGGTGATAATTAATATACTTTACCCATAATTATATAAGAAAATTAAAACTTCAATGTTAAATCCATTTCGAGAGTTTCCTTAATCCAGCGTTAATCAGTACATTATCAGCATCTGTTCCCTTCTCTTTCTAGAAGTTGCTGTGATCGTCACAATTTTCTTCAAGTATGACTGGTTTTCGGTATGCTCACTCAACACCCATATATATGTTAAATTTAAGATTTAGTCCCTTTACTTTGATCTAATTCATCCTCTGCTTTTACAATGTCATGTCATCTAATTTCTATTGAAAATAAAATTGGCAGCTATTTTCTAAATACATTGATGAGAGGCATGAAGATTTCAAGACCTTTATTGTCTTCCATGAGGAGATTTGTCAGCTCATTGCTATCTTGATTTTATCACCGCAGGTAATTTTAACAGGTAACCCCGTTTTCTAATAAAAAGTCTAAATCTGATTTTAGTCCTTCAACTATTCTACTATTTGAAATTTAATCCCCTATTGCCCACAATCGAACTTGGGATCTAATGTCAGTTAGGACTAAAGTGATGCCATTTATTAATACGTCACATGAAATTTATAAACCAAAGTTGTTGAAGATTCTTAGAAGTAAGGTAGAATAAGTAGTCAATTTCGATTTATTAATTATTTTATTCAGTTTCGTCAATTAATTTGATTCGAATTAAAAAAAAAAAAAGAGCATAAAAAGGATATCAATTCAATTTTGGGTAAAATACACAAATAGTCCCTTAACTATAGAGTATTATTTTATTAAGTCATTCGATTATTAAAAGTTACGAAATAGTCACTCTATTATTTATTATGTTCTAAACTTGTCATTGTCCATTAAAAAATTAGTGATTGTTTAATCTGGATGTTAACGTGATAATTGGGATGTTATTTGAGATTATGTGATCATATTTTATTGTATCATAATCAACAAGTTAGCTTTCAACTCAGATAATGTTAACTTTTTAACGAAAAATGATAAGTTTGGAACATAATAAATAATTCGATCACCATTTTGTAACTTTAAATAGTTGAGTCATAATAAAGCAATATCCTATAGTCAATGAACCGTTTGTGCCCTTCAGTTTATTAGGATATTTCAATTATTCGGCTTTGGCCATAAAATCTGTTGGATTTATTGATATACAAAAACCGAACTAATTAAAGCAACCAATTATGCGCCCGTAGGATGCTTATTGAGCGGGTCGATCGTGAGTTAGGTAATGCTCGACTCATACTCGTTAAACTCATTAAAATTTTATTCAATTTGTTCTTTTAAGAAAACTTGTTGCTCAACTCGTGCTCGTTAAGCTCGTCAAAATTTTTATCTTATTTTTTAACTATAGGTAAAGTCTACTAATACTATATAGAGCTTAATATAAATGTAAATTGATAAATTTAACCAAAAAAATTATCAAAAAAGTGTATGAAACAAATTTAAAGTATAAACTCCAAAATAAAAATCCACAAATATATTAAAATAATAATTATGGTTTAATTTTGGGCTTAAAATAATAATTATTAATTAATAAGAAAATTAATAGATTAGTCATTTATCATCATCTATTAGTAAATTAGTAATTTTTTAAGATAACTAGTAAAAGATTATAAAAAAAATTAACGAGTTGCTCGTAAACTTATTAAGTCGAGTTGGATTTTGCTCGACTTAACTCATTAAGATCTCGAGTCAAGTTCGAGCTGTTCGCAAGCTGCTCAACTCATTAACACCCTTACCATCCATAACGATATCCATGCCAATTTGGTTATTTTTGCAGGTTAGTGTTGTGGCTTTAGCAATAGTATTATGGAGTGTGGGCATTGAAAGAATCTCAGAGAGGCGGCACTTAGAGATACCCGATTTCACCACATCTTTCCTGGTGGGAACGGGGTCTGCCTTTCTCAATCACACCACTCTCATTTGTGGCAGATGTGAGGTTCTACGTACTGGGAATCCAACAACACAAGGCTTGTTTTCATATATTATGATGACTCTCAGAATGCAATTCCAAACAAGACCTATAAAGTTTTGTTACAATAATAACACAAACGTTCTGAATCATTGAGGGGAAAGAGAAGAGAGAGAGAGCGATGAAGAATCTATATATGCACTTGGTACAATCATTTTTATCAATTTAATTAATTAGATCCGTTCTCTTTTCGACAATAAATGGAAGAATTATGAAAAGAGAAAAGATGGCATACATGTATGAATATGAACTACAAACACAGGAGACTTTTAGTCAAAAAATAATAATGGAAAAGGCACTATCTGCAGCCTTTCAAAAGATAGGAAGAGGGGCTCGAGAAACTCACGGTTGTTGTTGTTGTTGAGTTCGCGTTTTCAGATTCCTTTCTTGGTGTTCCACATTCGCTGAAGTCAAGGATGCGGCGCTCCGCCTGCGACAAATCACGTACTAATTTCAATAAATTGCTCGTATTAACAAAGGAGGGGATATAGGCATGGTTTTTGTTTTCAGTAATACCAAGATATTTGAAGCCAAATGTGAATGGTTCTCAGGCCTGTTATTCTCTTTGTCCACATTACGATTCTTGGAGTATCTTCCTTTTACAATTGATTCCGGAGTTACGTTTCCCAAAACCTCCAAGGCATCAGAGTATGCAGCAGCAGTATGTTCACTTAATTGTTTCATCAAACCGATGGCGTCATAGCTTCTTTCTGCTGGGCTGCTAATGTATCTTATGTCCTGAAAAGAAATTTTGATTATTAGGAAGCATAAAAAAGGTTAAATTCTGAATCTATATCAAGGCTTAAGTAGTTATATACCTCAGTTGTTATTTCTGTGTCAATCCTTGGGCCTGGAATGAAAGAGTTAATAAACCAAGGAGACTTCCATGCTGACGGTGATTCGATACTTCTTTTGAATGGAGTTCCAGCGAATCTGGCAATCCACATCAAGCAAACAACGCATAAGAACCAATCAATTTATTCTAGCATTTGAAGTAGAAATAAAGAAAAGCAGTTCTTGACATAAAGGACACTGCATAGTAGGCACTGTAACAATTGTAATCACAACAGGGAGCAGCGGAAGCTGACATGTTATAATTTTCAGTAGCAGCATCAATCCCAGCATTATCGGCCAAATTCTCAAGGGTTGCTGAGGAATTGGTACACTGTACTGCAGTAACAGTAATCGAGTGGCCTTCCCTGTTCTTTACTTCCAGAGTGGGAGAGCTAACAACCAAGCTTGCGTTTCCAGATAAACACTCAGAAGCAAGGCCTTGATTTGATGAAACAGCTCTAACGCTTTTATGATACTGATTTCGTGGAGTTGGTATGCATGAAGAAAATAATGGTTGGTCTGCTTTACGACCAACATGATCAGGAGAAAACAATAGTAGATCATTTACATCATGCTCACTAAGCACGGCTGAAGGCTGTTGGACCTATCAAAATAGAGGGAAAATATTAGTATGATAAATCAAATAAGCATTGGAAGCAAAGAGGAATGCTACAGTAATAACGAGAGAATAATTAAGACCAAAACTTCTGAAACAAGACCAAAGTGAAAACAGTGTACATGTACATAGAGCTATCAGCATCATACATGACTTGAATAGAAGTTTGACATGGAATTAATCTGGCAGCTTCACCTTGAGCAAGAAAACATCAAAATAACACAGGAAAAGAACTCACAATTTTGTCGGAAGCATGAGCATTCGTTTTGTCCTTCATATCAATACCGCAAGCTTCATTTTTTACACTTCCCTGGAAATCAGAACCATCAGAATCTGTCTTTTGAGCTTCATCATCTAATGGCTCAGTGTGATTTTCACCTTTGCCTAGTTCCCCGTGAGATTCTTGACACAGGTTTTCTTTCTCTTCAACAGAGGCTATAGCATTGCTTTTATGTTCTGATGGAGATATCTGATACGTGTTGCGATGACGCTTTTTCTCCCTTCTTCGTTCTGATAAAGGTGATAACAGGTCGCGATGCTTCTTCTTCAGTATGGATGGTGTGCCAGTAAAAGTTTTGGCAGCACTTTTAAGCACAACATCTGGACTGCCGTCTGAAGATGGTGAATCCCACAACCTAAATGGAGAGATGCAGTTCATAGAAGACATCATCAGCTGGCGAATACCAAGGGGACTATATTCTAGCTGCACATCATTGCCAGATGGTCTAAGATCACAGCTGAAAAATGGGATATCCATGCCTGGAAAGCGAGGAGGCTCGTAATATAGACCTCCAGTATCTTGTTCTGCAGGAAAATTTGGCTTATCATCAACAGCAGGGCAAGTTAGCAAATCATTTGATTCTGAACCAAAACTATTAACTGAAACCAACTTCTGAGAATCCTTTGCAAGGTAAGATTGCTCTTGTAGGTCTGTATCATCTGTATGATCATCATTAGTAAAGATGAAGCCATCATGTCCATTCATAGTAAATTCTTGTTCTTGACTTCCAGAAGGTTGAACATTTAATTGACTGGCCTCTCGGCCATACATAAGCGTACCATCCTCCACTGAAAGGAGTGAAGGAGAAGCAAAAGACTGACAGCATGAGGTTGCCAATACCTCAGACCTTGAAGGAAAAGCAGATTGTGAGGCCGGAGTATTTCCAGTTTCAGATGGTTGGGTGACTGAATGCTGATAGAGTGATGTACTTGCACACCCACCCAATTCCACCATATTAGACTGTTGCGTAAAATTTTCGGAGGCAATGAATCCATCATTCACTGCCTCTGAGAATAGGACCCTACTACATTCATCATCAGTTATCAACAAATGCTCGCCAAACTGATAATTCCCACTGGAAGAGTACCCAGCTTCACAAGGTATTTCTGGAATGGAGAAGTTGACATCTTCAAAAGATGGGTAATACTCTTCTGCACAAGGTGCTGGGCTGGAATACCTCTCATTTGTCACAGCAGGCATTTCAGTCAAGTGGAATTGCTCTCTTGTATGTACAGAAGCATTAGCTAAATCACTTGCAGATTGAGAGCAACTCATCACATTCGATTCTTGACTGCATTCTGATATGTCCTCAGCTTCTTTCCTACATTTGGCACCACTATCATCTGCATTGCTCTGCATCCTCATAGAAGACGAAGGCATGGGCTTACTTTGATTTGCAAGAAATGGGAACTGACATTGTTCCAGAAGGCCTGACGCTATGTAGGAGTCCAACTTCTTTTTGACTGAACTGTTCCAGTGATTTTTTATGGCATTGTCTGACCTGTTACCCATGCAAAGATGGGGATAAAGAAAGTTATTGGTAAGTTCAAATGTAAAAAATATATTAACTTCTAATTAACACAGCAATCAGGTTTAGGTGAGCATAAGAGGAAGATTAGGTGTTACAGGGAGAAGTAGTAAGAAGAATAAAAGACAAATATATGTAAACCTGTTAAAACATTTATAAAAAGTTGTGACCTCTAAATAATATGTACCTTCCTGGCAAGAATTTTGTAAGCTCTGCCCATTTGTTCCCAAAAATCTGATGAGCACGAATAAGAGCCAACTCCTCTTCCTGAGTCCACGCGTCTTTGTTTATGCCAGGATTAAGATGATTGTGCCACCTACATCAGTAGTTACTTTTATGAGCACAAAAGTTCTAAATGTAGTAGAGATTAAAATATCAAAAATTAAAAACTCCATCATAGCACCTTTCCCTGCATTGCTTTCCAATACGTCCAGGTAAGTGCTGAGCAATGGTTGACCACTTTTTTGGGCCAAATTTGTTCACCAACTCAATTATCAGCTCATCCTCCTGATCATATTTTGCAAAAGCAACTTAGAATGCTGTCATAAATATAATATCAAGAAAACTTCTTCTTTTTTTCTTTCAAGAACAGTCCCTTCAAGGAACTGTTAGAAAGAAAAAAGTAGAAAAATATTACCTCTTTTGTCCATGGCCCTTTAACAAGTTCTGGGTTCAAGACCTTTTGCCACCTGTGTAAACACTGTACATCAGTACGATCCTTGAAACACTCCGCTGCAGATGAACCAGTCTTACAATTAGATTGTGCAAAATGATACACAAAGTGCTGTCACGCCTCAAGTCAATCATACCTATCTTTTTCCAATTTTTTCCTTTGAAATGTTGAACAGCTTTGCTCAGAATCTCATCCTGGAAGTCCATGTAATTATGTTGTTAAGAATATGTATAGACATACATGCACAGAAAGAGACGCAAAACACACGGCACGCGAATATCTAATTGGACACCAACACTAATTGCGTTAAAGGACAAGAGTCACAAGACTAAAATAAATGGGTACTATAATACATAACACAACAAGAGCAATAAAGTTGCACAATGGTGTTAAAACAAAATGAGGAAACATAACTAGGGAAAGATAAATAATACCTCTTCAGCTGTCCATTGTCCTTTCGTAGATCGTCTTGTAGGACCAGTAGTCCTCCTATAGAAGGAACCAAAGTCAGCAAAACTCAGCAGCATATAGAACAATCAATTTCTTGCAACTTGTAAGATAACATAAGATTAGAAACATAACAAATATAGTGCGAGGGCAAGCACACCCAAGAACACCGATAATGGTTTCAAATTTTTTTAAAGTATGATAATAAAAATAATAAATACCCATGAATAGGCCGCATTCTCTTAGCACCATCGCTATTGCTGAGCCCAGCCGAAGGAGTGGATATAGTAATATCACCTTCCATAGTTCCTTTACAGATGAATAAAGCTGCATACCCCAATGCCAACTCTTCAAAGCTTCTCTCAGCAATATGCTCTCGAAATCATTCTCAATCAAACCAAACTAGAAAGCTACCCAACTCGATCATTTTGAAAATGAAGAAATTTTACACTAGTAATTAAAAAGTCAATGATTTTGAAAACTTTGTACGGAATTCGATTAATTTAATAAACAAAAGATCAAACATGTCAAATTCATAATAAATTCCTCGAATTCAAACCCTATATTATTATCAGAATCAAAATTATTTTCAACAACTTCAACTTGAATGAAATATTTAACTTGAACATCAAGACCGATCGAAGAAATTTCAAATTCACAAAACGAAAAAGAAAGAAAGAAAGAAATACCCTAAAAAAGGAGAAGAAACTACACAGTACCGAGCTGAGCTGAGCTTCGAATAAGAACGAGGACAGAGGAAGTCAAAACGGTGCAAATTTGCAGATTCAAAACGAACACATTGAAGAGAAAATCAAAGACTGTTGAGATCTGCAAGAGAAGATAAAGAGGAAATGGCAGAGTGAAATGGTCTAAAGAGATATTCAAACATAAAAGGGGCGGACTAATGGGGGAATTCAAACCCTACGGTGTAAGATCTAATATGCTTTGTATTTGACGGCCAGGATTTTTTTCACGTGTATTCAAGGCAGTCCACCTTTGATATGACCTTTTATATTTTCCAAATCTTTATTATTTGAAATTCATAACTAAAAAGTAAATCTAAATTTCATCCAAAAAAACAGTAAATCTAAAATATAAATACTTCTCCTAATATATAATTATTGTTAGACTCAACGACAATAATTATATTAATAAGTTCATAATGAAGATAAATAATTCATTAACTGCATTTTATATTTATGTATGTTTTAATTAAGACTTAATATATTTTAGCCATTTAAAAGAAGTTTTTGTTTCTATTTTTTAAAATTTAATTATTAATTCGACTCTTTAATTTTTAATTATGTTATCATTCTTGTGAGACTATTAGGAAAGATTAGGGAAATAAGAATGATTTAAAATTTTTAAAAACCAACCCTTTTAGTAAAAACGTTGAGTTTTAATAATTTAAATTTTGGTGTTTCATATATGGTAAAATTTTGAAGGATCATAATTTTAAACATATATTTTTGTTTAAAAAATATTTCCTTTGACCTTTAATTTTGAATATTTCATATTTTATCAATAATTTTAAAATTTTGACTTCAATCTTTTTAGTATAAATATTCATTTTTTATTATAAGAGTGCATCATTGTTCAAAAGAATTTGGTAATTTCAATTTTACTACATTCTAATTTTGTTTTCTATATTAATGTGTGCCAAGATTGGAATGGGAGGAAGCTTGGAATGAAAGTAAATAGATAATTCAAAAGATTCATGGATCAATATAGAGCTTGAGATATAGTTTGGGATGTTTCAAGCAATTAGCCCATATATATATCTTCGAACAAATGGAAAACCAAATTGTCCGACTATTGTCTAAACAATATAAGCTAAGATATTTAGCTAACAGTGCTGCATTTGGGCTTTGGCTTACTTCAACGAAGAAGAAGAGTTGAACAATCCATCAATTTTGAGTTCAATTTGAAGACGACAGTTATGATTCTAACTCAGCTTCCAAGGTTCCATTTCTTGGTGTTCAAAAACCCGCCGCCAAGCTTCAATTTCTTCCCCAAACCGAAACTCCCGATCATCAAACCCGCTTCCCCGACGCTCTTCTCCAGTCTTTCAACGGCCGAGCCAATACCCATCGCTGATTTCGCACTCCCCGATGAGCCGAAGCTCGAGGTTTCATTGGACAAGCTGTTTGTTCCCCCGGAGACCGAGGTTTCTTGCAATGATCCCAACTTGAGCACGAAAATCTTGAAAGGGTCCAACATAGTTTTGAGCAAGTATGCAAGGGAAGCTCAAGTGGTTCAGGCTGAGTTCGTGAAGAGCAGTGTGAGAACCGAGGATTGCCCTTCCGATGGATTGCCGGAGTTTGCGCTCGTCGGCCGGTCGAATGTCGGGAAATCCTCGCTTCTTAATTCGCTTGTAAGAAGAAAACGCCTTGCTCTCACGTCTAAAAAACCTGGTAAAGTTGATTTATTGAAGCAAATTATGATAGATATATTGCCTAGGCTAATGGAATGTTTGCTCTTAGAGTCTTATTAACTTAGAATGCCTGCCTTAAAGCAAGATATTTGCATTTTGTTGGTGTTAATATTGTTGAATTTGGGTTCTATTAGAAGCTAGAAATCGTGCAATGAACTACTTTACACGTTTTGTATGGATTAAAATAACAATAACATTATTGTTACGATGATAATCGGGATGATAATGGCGAGTAAACAAACAAGATCATAAGGAAAAACACAGATTTTCATGGATAGTTTATTTATTTAAACAAATACGAGTGTGATTATGATTTGCCTGTGATTCCTTTGAAACTTACAGATTGTGATGTAAGCAAATGTCTATTGTTCGTAGGGAAGACGCAATGCATCAACCATTTCCGCATCAATGACGATTGGTACCTGGTGGATTTGCCTGGATATGGGTATGATTTACCTTCCATATGCCTTCCTCTATAACCTGCTCTTTATTCAGACCTTGTTTGAGTAGATACATGCCTACAAGTTTTAAACTTCCCGATTTTCTTATTGGTGGAATATTGGAAACTTGCCTTTATTGAGCTGTTCACTGTACTAGAGAAAATGAAATCATGTACTATTCTCATGAATAATATGGTATAGGGCTTAATTCAATCACTTTCTCCAACTTTAAAACATGAAGGGTTGATGTTTTCAATATTTAATCTTGTATGCGGTCTTATGTCTCTGGTCTTGGTTTATTTGTTAAGAGGAACTGGTTGGTAATCGGTATGCCAATTTCTCTTAACCTCTGTTTTGGTTGTCCTCCCTTAAATGATGTTATGCTGTTATACAGGAGCTAAGTATGGTTTTGGCTGCTCCATACTAGCCATGATTGCTGTTTGACTACAGTTTTCTCTTGAACAGGTATGCATCTGCACCTCAGGAACTTCGAACAGACTGGGGCAAGTTCACCAGAGACTATTTTATCAACCGTTCAACGCTAGTATCGGTTTTCCTACTTATTGATGCTAGCATTCCCGCGAAGAAAATTGACCTGGAATATGCTAGTTGGCTTGGTCAGAACCAGGTAATGTCATTCATTCTTGGGTACAAGGATATGATATATGAGTGGCCCACTCTGATACGGCACTTGTATTGTCTTCTTGAGATGAAAGGCGAAAAACCCCTTGATCCTTTAGTTTAGACAACTCCTTATATTTGCATGCTGATATTTCATGATGTTATATGTTTTACTCGACCTTTAAATCATCGTTCAGATCCCCATGACACTGATATTCACCAAATGCGATAAGCGGAAGAAGAAAAAGAATGGTGGAAAAAGGCCCGAAGAGAACGTGAGTGAATTTCAGGAGCTGATATGTGGTTTCTTCCAGTCTGTGCCGCCGTGGATTATGACCAGCAGTGTTACAAATCAAGGCCGCGATGAGATTCTGTTGCAAATGGCTCAACTACGGAATTATTGGCGTAAACACTGAAGGCTAAAGAACCCCGTAATCAATCAAGTTTATGTATGTTGCTAATGTACTTGATTTTTTAAACGCTGTTTCTTTGCATGCATTAGAAACAATTCCCTTTCAAGTTTTGGACTTTGTTTAAACGAGATTACCGTCCATGCTGCTCGAGTCAGCCACTAATGAGATCATTTCCGAATAAAAAATCCAACCCTAGATGTTATATCTTCACATCCATATCCGAATACTTGCATGAGAACAATAAATATTTCATAAGTTTATTTATGGATGTGGTCATCAGTATCTCATATGGCAAAGAGAGATCAAAGAAGTAAATTGTATTCTATAATCGAAACGAAATAGTGGAGATTCATGATAAAACCTGTTCATAGATATTAGATGAAACATAAAAGTACACAATGTTTTGATAAAATCACAACATTTCTCGTTTGTAAATTCAGAAATCTAAAAACAATAAACCAAAATTTACTTAAGCAGCAATAACAGTTGCCTTCTTCCTTGGGGTTGCTTGAGTACCTTCTCTAAAGCCAGTCTTGAACCATCGGGGCACATGACGGAGGTACCTCATGCGGCCTGTCCCGGTAGTCTTTCTTCTAATAGCCTTCACACTCCAGTTATCTAAAACCCAGAAATACAAAGATAATCCAAAGCATCAATCCACCGAGCTTATATTACCATTAAATGAAAACCCCACCGTTCGGCAAACAGAAATGACAGAAAAATAAATCAGCAACAAATCCAGGATGCCATCTTCAACCAAGCAATGACAATCAAAGATAGATTGACATAATAATTTTAACCCAAAAATCACAATAACCACAGTATGGAAGACTTACAAGCGAATAGAGTAGAAAAGTAGCAGGATTGAAAGAAGAAATGAAATGTTCAAATGAGCAAGGAAAATCACGTTTAAGTGGTAAGAAAGAAAAAGGGGAAAATTTAAGACAGCCATTTCAAATTTGAATAATAAGATTTGAGAAGACAAGGTAGAATGGTAGATACAAATTAAGGATAGCCATTTACAAGATAACGCATATATATATTCTTTCCTTTCATGCAATGAGGCAAAAATCTTACTATTTTCCATTTTCCAATTAAGCACGCCAATGAAAAGGAAAAAGAAAAGCATTTGACATAATGTCGCTATTGAGGCTGTAAACTCCGATCATTGCAATGCTTGGGGGCTCAATACCTCCATGACTGCTTAAACTAGGTAAAAAGTTTGTAAAAATGTAACAGCTCAGCTGCTTTTTTTGAATACTAAAAGCTCAATTTTTAACAAAATTGGCTGAAAAAAGAAATCGCCTACATATCAAGGATGCTACCATCAACTAAGAAATGATAATCAATGATAGCTTGACATAATAATTTTGACCCAAAATTTACACTATAACAACAGGCATGAAGGGTCAAAAGAATCAACAAAGAAATGGCAATGGTTCGGTATTCTTTCAAATCAAAATCATTAAAACAGAGAACCATAAATTCCAAGATATTATTAATTATAGTGAATCTTTATATTTTCTAACCTTCTCTAAGTTCAGCTAAACAAACCTCAAACAGAAATGACAAAAATATAATGATCCAAAAAAATCTTACATTTTCGGATGCGGCTGGCAGGGTAGGCACAAGCACCGCAACGGCTCTTCTGGAGATGGAAGCTACGGCGTCCACACCGAACGCAAAGGGTATGCGTCTTATTCCTTCTTTTTCCAAAGCTTCCAGTTCCTTTCCCCTATCAAAAAAGAAAAAAATCAAAATTCAGTGAAATTTACAATAGATTTCTACATAAACAACGACAGATAGATTTATTCTACAATAATGATCTAATACCATTGCTTCCCACGGTGATGCTACCAGAACCCTAGAACTATGGGAGGATTGAACAGAAACTGTTGCGCAAAATTATATATATTATGCTGATTTCCATGTATGGGCTCTTAGGGCTCCATTTTAGAATTGGGTTTGGGCTTCTTTTTGTTTATCTCAGTTTTGAATTCAAGTAGGTCTAATAGAATATACTGTTATATATATATAAAGACGATTAGAGTATAAAGATTTGTTGTTGTTTTTATTTGGCTTAATACTAAAATAAGTTTCTAAACTATACCGTTTTTCTCAAATAGGTGCCTAAACTAATTATCGTCTCATCTAGGTGCCTAACGTTACAAATGTTACCATTTAGGTGTCTGGGCAGGTAACGGTGTTAATTTCTCCATTAAATGACACGTGTCACAATCTGGTAATTTTAGAAATTTTATTTAAAATTAAAAAAATAAAATTATATATTTTAAAAAAAATAGAAAACACAAATTTTGAAATAAACCCAAAACTTTGAAAACCTTCATTTCAACCCCTAAACCCACATCGACCACCACCTTTTTCGTCAAGGAAACTCCACCCGACCTCCCCTACCCCCGAAGGTCAAAACCTCCATGATGAAATCGTGACCGATCAACGACGAATTAACGTTTTAAAAAGCTCGAAACCTAGGATTAAAATCGCAATTCTGATAGCCAATCGACGGAAAATACGACGGTGTATGAGTAGGAGGATGACAGGGACTATGTGGTGGTAGTGGTCATGGCCGGAAAGGGCGATGGCAGTGGATTAAGGTTAGGGTTTGGGATTACGGGGTTATTTTATAATATAAGAAAAGTTATTTTTTTAATAAATATCATAATATTTTTAATATTTTATTTTTTTAAAAAAATTCAAAAATACCATATTGTGACACGTGTCACTTAACGGCAGAAATTAATGTTGTTGATAGCCCGAGCACCTAATGGGTAACGGTTGTAACGTTAGGTACATGGATGAGACGAAAATTAGTTTAGACACCTATTTGAGTTTTAAGGTATAGTTTGGACACTTATTTTGATATTAAACCTTTTTATTTTTATTAATCTAAAGTGATTACAAAATTATATATTAAAGTGATTACAAAATTATATATATGTGTGTGTGTGTGTGTGGTGAGTCATGGTACATTTTGCAGATATGCAGTTTGTTTGATCCTGAATCTGGACCCTGTTCCGAACATTTGTACGGGTAGGAAGTATATCTCGAAGTTCATACACATACTTGTTGGTCTGGATTTCATGTATACTTTCACCAAGTTAAAACCATCAACACTTAGATGAAAGAAAATGGGAAAACATATGGAGCAAAATGCATGGCATAAATTTGGCCAAATCTTCACTTGTGATGATAAGTTTTCTCTGATGGATCCCTATGAAATATTGGAAAAGATAATAGAACTTCAAATCATTTGATAACATAATACATGGTACGAAAAAATATCATGGACGGAACATAAACCAGCGTCATTGCATCTGCAATCAGTGTTCATATTCCTTACCATTCGTGTTGATAAAATCAGCTTCTGATCTGTGCCAGCCCTGCAAAAAGAATAATAAAGGCCCAAAGTGATAAATAGGTTATTCGCATAGATGGCTGGAAGTTCCGAGTACTAAACACATGAACAACCGAGGAAGATTTTACAACCATCGCCTGCGTAACTAGCCAGAACGCATTAAAGAAAGAAACGACAGCACTGTAAACTGCAGCTTCGGCATGCAAGCTCATTATTACATGCTAATATTGTTAAAACATAAGAAATCCCAAATTCAACTGTCATTCCTTGATTGGTAGCAAATATATCCATATTGCAGACAATTGTTAAAGAAATAACAGCCAAGAACAATGGTTCAACAGCTCTTTAAATATCCAAGGATCAACTATATGATCTTGATTCATAGACATGAACATTACCCTAATCCATTCTTGACTTCGATAAAATCACATAGTTCCTTATCCTACACGAGGGAGGAGACGAAGTGTTGTAGGTAAACGTTGAAAGTGAAATCATAGCTCTTTATCACTTGTTTATGTTCTTGTTAGCGAAATATATACTCTTTTCCCTTGGATTCACATATTCGGAGGTTCCCCTTTTAAGGATTTGTCCTGTTTCTATTATCTGAGCTCTTGTTTGGTTTGAAAGCAATGTACTTGAAAAAAAAAGATGTGATCTTGGGGAAAGAATCCAAACTAAAAAAAGGTGCATTTTACAGCTCAATATGTTTCCCTGAGATTGCAAAATGATGGATATCATAGATTATGTAGTTTGTTCATTGTTGGTTCCAGAATCCAGATCCTCTTAGAACACTTATAAATGGTGTAAAAAGTCTATCTCTGAAGATTATATATATACTAGCTGGCCCAGGTTTCATGTATAACTTTACAAAGTTGAGTCTCTGTTCGGCAAGGCCTCCACTCGGTCACCTGCCTCCTCTTGACAGATTTCATTGGTCACACAATACATTTGTCTGCCTCCTTTGGTACCGGTAAGCCACCCTCTTCTCTCCAGAAAAGGTGATGTTCATGTGTCAAAAGGTCCACAAATTTCTTCTCCGACTCTCACTTGAGACTAGGTTCATTGCTTGCACAATCTGTGTTCACCATAATCCATAACATGAACACATGATCATGTTTTCACCACATGAATAGAGGGCAAAGTTTCAATTAATTAAAAGGATGAACATAGAGATCAAATCATAAAGATCTATCTGAGTTGACAAAATGAACTTATAACCTGTGACTGAGAGATTAGCCAACCCTGTGAAAGATTAAAAAAGAGCACAAAGATATAAATAAGTTCTTCACATAGATAACCAAAGACTGTGAACTAGACGAACTATATAATCAACTACAAGTAAGTTCATTGATCAGTTACAAATATATTTCATATTCTGGACTGCTAAAATGCAAGACCAATGATTCAGCAGCACTCCAATTATTCAATGATCAACTATAGCACTCCAAGTAAGATTTCATATTCTTAATTTCAATAAAACGGCATGGTTCCTTATTCTACACAAAACTAAGTAGACAAAGTATATTTTTCTATCGAGGAGGAAGAAAATCACAAAAGGGAAACATAGTTCTTTTGGGCAACGAAAACTTGCTTGCTTAGTTGGCCCTAAACTTCATAAAGCTTATCACCTACTTCAACTTACTTCTTGATCACATGCATAAGAAATAGACCTAGAAGTGTGCCATTTTCCTTGAAGTAGCATCAATAGAGTCATTTGGGCACACAAAGAGCTCAGTTCCATAACCAGTTAGCAACTACAACGAACCGAGTGCCTCTAAATCCTCAACACAAAGATGATTAAACAAGCAGAAACAGAAATGAATTTTAGTTTAATTGACAACATATTTGTTGCATTTCATTAACCAAGCATATTGACACCTCTAAAATCATCAGAAGCTATAAACCAAAATCTCAAATGGAAGAAATGTGAATCTCAGAACAAATAGAATCAAATATAAACACAACTTCTCAATATATGAAAACTACAGTAAAACAGTACTTAACAAAGCTACAGCCTCAAAATGCAAGATTAGCAAAAATGGCTGATCGAGATCCCACATTTTCCACATTGGATATGTTAGATTTGTCTAGAAATTAAGTTGACAAGTTGGAAATTTCATCTTGGTTGGTGGCCAACTTATTGGAAATTTCATTTTGGTTGGTGGCCAAACTTTGAACATGTGAATTTCATATTTGGTGGCTAACTTGTACACATTGGAAAATTCTTTGGTAGGTGGCCAAACTTTGAACATATTGTTCTTGAAACTCAACTATAAATAGGCCTAAGTATTTCCATTAGAAATCATCCCAAAAACAAGTTCTCTCTTCCTCTTGTATTCTTCATTCTCCCACTTTGGGAATTCCAAAGAATTCCATTTGTTGTAATATTGGCGATATAGTGAAGTTATCATCCGGTGTGGTGCCCGAGGAGTAGACGATATTCTCGTCGAACCTCGTAAATTTGGTGTGTCCTCTCCTTTATTGTTTTTTATTCGATTATTTTCCATTGTGTTTCAATATTCAATAGTTTGACAGATTTATCCGCTGTGCAACCTTTGGTGGTTTTAATCTTGACATTTTAGGTCAATTTTAAAACTACGTTCGTGTGGGAAATAACTCGTTTTCCCCAACAATTGGTATCAGAGCTTCGGTTGAGGTTATCCTGGTGGTTCCGTTGCTGAAAAGATACAGTTCGTGATATTGAATATTGTTCGTTAGAATTAAAATGCCACGGATCAGTTGAGATATCAAGCTCTTCATCTAGATCGGTGAGGAGGGTGATGTCAAATGCAAATTTCTCGGTGGAGTATTTCGATGGATCCGGTCATTTTGGCATGTGGCAAGGCGAGGTGTTAGACGCTTTATTCCAACAAGGTCTAGACATCGCCATTGAGGAAGAAAAGCCCAAATATATGGAGGAGAAAGAATGGGGAACAATCAATCGTTTGGCGTGCAGCACGATTCGATCTTGTCTTTCCAGGGACAGAAGTATGGCTATAAGAACACGACTTCTGCAAGTAAGATGTGGAAAGCTTTGGAGGAAAAATTCCTGAAGAAAAGCTCTCAGAATCGTCTCCACATGAAGAAAAGATTGTTCAGATTTGATTATCAACCAGGCACCAGTATGAATGAACACATCACTGCGTTCAATGAGCCAGTGGAAGACTTATTGGGCATGGATGAAACCTTCAAAGATGAAGATTTGCTTTGATGTTGTTGTCATCTCTTCCAGATGAATTTGAGCACCTTGAGACAACGTTACTTCATGGTAAGGATAATGTTACCCTTAAAGATGTAACTGTTGCTTTGTATAGTTATGAACTCAGGAAGAAAACCAAGAAGGAGAGCAAGTACGAAGCAGCAGAGGCCATGGTGGCAAGAGGTCGCTCGAAAAGTCAAAAGCCAAAGTGGAGAGGGAGATCAAATTCGAAGTCCAGACTGGGAAAAGATGATGTGCCTTTTGTCATGAGAAAGGCCATTGGAAGAAAGATTGTCCGAAGCTG